TGGGACCACCTTCTATAGTTCTTTCCATCAAGTGCATCGAGCTTGGAAAGATCGGGAATGAGTTTGCTCAAAGGTGTCGACATGATTGCAGTTTATGGAATTCGTTTCTAAATTATTGGATATATGAACTGCAAAACTACACCGTTAGCACTAACTGGAAATATAAACAGTAATTAAGAAGAACAAATTCGTAAACCGTGTCGTGGTAAGAACCACTGCCTTAGAAACGAATTCACCCCGATGTGTGTAATCGCTGCAGTAGGCGGACCGTCCCCCGAGGTTAACACGGTCGCTCGAATTTCGTACACCCGAAATCGGAGTGGACTGCTGGTGGTATTGTACTTCTGATCGGGAAGCACTCAGAGAGAACTCACAGAGAAAATTTTAGAAAACACTTTGTAAGTGAATTGTGAATGTTTTTGAATGAGTTGAGAAGCTGAATATAGCTCTCTATTTATAGGCTAGAAATAGGGTTAAAATCGTCTATAAAATTTCAGGATTAAATCTCTTATTTGTAACAGTTGAAACGTCTAGACGAACCTGACTCATAAATAGTCCAGGTTTATTGTATCATTATTCAGCTGTTATAACTCCCGAAATTATATCATGTAACCCCTGGAATTAAATCAAATAACTCTTTTAACTCCTGATATTAACAGCTTGTCTCCTCTGTACAAAGCTGTAAATCAGTCTAGGTACATCCTAACGTTTCTGATTTAATTTAGGAATATATTTGAAATTCAAACAGTCCTCAGCAGCCTATAAATATCAGTTGATATCTTTCACATTTTCCATTTGTTTCTTTCAAAGAGAAATTCCTCAAGAATTTTCTCTAAAAAGATAGTATCCGCACGGACGTGTCGAAGACACGTATTACCACGACCACGACCACGACCAAGAGCCGAGCCGAGACAGACGGACGGCGGCAGCGGCGGTGCGCGAGAGCCCCCCTTGTTATCTATCACTCAACAAAGAAGTGAAATGTCAAGCCTTAAATACCATTCCCAATAGTATTTCCAACACTATGTGTGATTGAGCATTACCAACACTTGTATACCTGCAGGGCTGAGTGAAGATTTATGTAACGTGTTCAAAAGGATGGTATCTCCTTAAATTCCCAGTTGACAGTACCGGAGGAAGTTGTCCCGGAACCTACAGAACCGCAGCTGCTCCTACAATCAGGACCCCTGTGCCGGATCATAGAGTTGGTTCTCCTGTTCCAGCACCTGAAGTCAACATGGAAACCGAATGTCTTCGACATGACGGAAGCAATGCAGCCGACAATGTTGTTCCAGAATTCGTAGCCTATGGAGAGTATCCTCAACAGTAAGTGAACCAAACCATATCGTACTTATCAAGCCAACATTTGAAAATTCAACATTGCTTCGGATGCCGTGTTAAAGCCACTCGGACACTTTGCGGAAACGCCCCTTGCTAGTAAATATCCACCGATATGCGCCGGAGAATTTGTCGAACAAGAGCTTGCAGTAATTAACCTGAAAGGAAACAAAGGGGAATCATGAAGAAAGAAAGAAAACCGGTTCCTCTTACATAACAAACCATACATTATATCCTTATGCAAAGGGTTCAAATAATTGTTTTCAGGAAAGGTGAGTTACATTTATAGCATATCAAATGTAAAAAATGGTAAGATATTATTTATTCATTCCTGCAAATTATGAAGAGTTAATTGCATTCAACATTTGAGTCACTCAATTCTTAATTGATGTTTAATTGAATTATTGAATTATCAATAATCTTTTCACTCATTCTAAATTGATTTTCTAATTGAATTATCAAAGTTTTTTTTAAATAAATCACTAATTTTATTTAAAATAGGAAATATTCTAAATTACAATAAAAATTTATAATTATAATAGTAAATTAAGCATATAATTAAGATAATTTCCAATAATAATTGAAACAAAATTAGCAATGGGAGGCTTACGTTAGTGAAGTTGGTCTTGTCCAACCTTCCGATTTACTATTTGTCTTTGTTCCAAATGCCTATGGCAGTGGCTTCGAAGTTGAATAGCCTTGTGGCTAATTTTTTTTGGGGTGCAAAGTCTTGTAGGGCTATACATTGGGTCAAATGGAGTAAGGTTTGTAAATCGTGATATCAAGGAGACTTGCGGATTATTAACTTAAGATTAAAGAATAAAGTGTTGCTTAATAAATGGATATGGAGATTTGGGCGTTAAGATGGATCTTTGTGGAAGGTGTTGCTAGCCAAGCATGAGTACGATGATCGATCGTTAATTCGTAACCCAATCCCAGTTAGGAAAATGTCATGGGTTTGGAGAAATATAGCTCATACTCAGCCAGTGTCAAACAAGAACTTCGTTAATGATCTAAGAATTATTGTTGGTGATGGGGAGTCAGTTGATTTTTGGAACGATCATTGGACTTCTATGCCGTCGCTCAAAATCGTTTTTCCTAGAATCTTCAGTTTTGCTGTTAAAAAAGAAGGAAAAGTGGGGGCTTTTGGTTCGAGAGTGAATGGTTGTTGGGAGTGGAATATTGAGGTCAGAAGATCGCTTTTCATTTGGGAATGGGACACTTGGGTGGATTTCATGCAAATTATCAATAGTGCGGCCCCGTCATTCCGGTCCTGATTGTTTGATTTGGGTTGGGGCTGCGAATGGGTTATATTCATCTAAAAGTTATTGTTCATTGAGTAGCAGCGAGGATTATGAGTCTGAAGTGGTGTGGAAGATTGTTTGGTCAAATCTTGTTCCACCAAAAGTTGAGTTGTTTGTGTGGAAGATGATGTCCTAAAGGATGCGTGTTCTAGTGGAACTTGCTAAGCGGAGCGTGGTAGATTCTAATGCTTGTTTGTGTGTGTTTTGTAGGAAGGTTATGGAGTCGATTAACCTTCTTTTTTGTCACTGTGAAGTGACGTGGGGCGTATGGCAGCGGTGGTTTGAGAATTGGAATCTGCATTTTATATCGCCGCCTAATGTGAAATCCTTTCTTCTATCTTGGTATGGGTGCTCGGTTTCAAGGTCAAGTAAGAAATTTTGGATAATATCTTTTTTCGGTCTGACGTGGGCTACTTGGCGGTGTAGAAATGATGTGATTTTTAACAGTCGTAAAGTGTGCGTTAATTCTATCATAAAATCGGCCTAGGCTATGATTGTGTTTTGGTTCAAGTGCAAATCCCCTGGTTTTTATCTTTCTACAGTTGATTTTTCCAGTTATCCAAATGGGGTTATTGCTTTTAAGTAGCTCGGTCTTTGAATATTGCATTGTTGTTTGGCGTGTTTTGGTTGGGCTAGTCGATGGCTGTTTGTTGGGTCTTGGGTGGTTTGCTTTGATTATTGCCGTTGGTGCAGTTGATGACCATGTTTTTAGGTTTTGAGACAAATGTCTATATTTTCTGCTGCCATGGTGACAATGACAATAGGCTTGAGGGTCGGTGCAGGCTGCTGGTCTGATTCACAGCTCGGCTTCTTGCGTTCGTGAAGAGTGAATTGTTAGGCTTCATAATCCAATCCCGCTGTACCTTTGATTGTTGTTTAATATTGAGCGTGTTTTGGAGTGTTGTGTTCTCGATCCTTTATCACCGTGTTGCTTCAGCAGTGGAGTTTTTCTGTTATGAAATGTCCTTTGCAGTGTGTTATTCTGCATGTGTTGTCTTTGCTGGTCTGTTTGTGTCTGATGCTGCTGTTGTCCAATTTATTTTGTAAGGTCGATACTTTGGTATTCATTTATTGACGTTGATAGAGTGCACTATTTCCCTCCATTTATATTTAGGAAGGTTTTTTAATGAGACATCTATTGTCGTTTAGTTTTTTTAACTCACAGTGTAATCGTACAAAGTACCCTTTACAAAAAAAAAAGATCATACAAGAAAAAAAATTAAAATATAACTAAGAAAACTCTAACAAATATATATATACACACACAAATAGAACTGATTGCGTCTGTAAACGAACCACAAAATGGGATCAAGCTACTGAAAGACCACTGACAAACCGCAAATTAGATTCAAACGACATGAAAAGCTATCCACGAATGCATAATATGTATCTAAATTCAATATGAGGTCTAAAGCAAGGAAAATAACAATATACCAGATAAGTGTCATCATACTCAGTCGTGGCGATGTCTAATAAACCCTTAAAAAAGATAAATGAAAACAACGGCAAAAAAACAGAAAAAACGTGTCATGCAGACATGGAAAAAGCGTTATACAAGTAGATTGTTGAAAAGAAAAACAAGAGAAAATAAAAGGACAATTAAGAATATTGATATTCGGCAACCAACATTAAAGTTGATGTCGCCGCCGACAATAAACGTTTAAACACCTTTACAAATATCATGTTCAAATCATAGACTTTTAAGGATAACAATATCCCCATAACTACTAGTTCATGCAGATAAATTAACTAAATTGTAAAAAAAAAAATCAGGTTGATAACTAACCTATCAAAAAGATCATGTTGATATGATCACAATTTTAATTATAATATTTTAAAATTATGAATTTATTTATTTATTTTTAATTTGAGGGTTAATTTAGAATAGGAAAGGATAATTTGGGGACGTATAATAAAATTAACCTTTTAGAAGATTTAATTGTATTATATATTCTCAAACAATGGGTTTTATTTTAATTTGGTCCCCAAAATTGTAAAACATTCAAATTTAATCATTAAAGTACGACTTATATTCGAATTAGACCTTTAAACTTTTGATAAATTACAATGTATGTTAAAGTTTTGTCTGATACGACGATGAAAAAGAAAAGAAAAAAATTGATAATCGGATTGTTGATATTCATCAGGTACTTAATGATTAGATGATTTTACAAATCAGGCCCTAAATCTCTTACTTTCACAATCACAACTCTCTCAACATTTTTTCTTATCCTTCTTCTGATTCTATTCTAATCCAAGAATCCATTATTCCTTCAATGCATCGCATTTCAATTACAATTTACAAATGATTAACACCACCTTCACTCTCTCCCATAGTTGTTACTCCTCTGGTGTTGCCTTCAACAGCTGCACTTTGCTTTGTTATCCCTAAATGTCTGCAACAATAAAACACAAAACATCATCTTTCCATCACAATAATGTCCTCTCCATCTTTAGCCCTTCTGTGAGAACTCACACGAATTCTAGGGTTTCGTCCTACTATAACCCTAATTCATGTTATCTATTTATAAGGTTAATTACTTGGTGAGAAAGAAATTTTTGCCACATAAACTCTCACTTCTGTCAAAACCTAACATATCTATCTTTTATATTTTATCACAACATAGTACATACCTTGACCTGCCTTTGAAGATCTTTGATGTACTCCACTGCCATGTCTAACATATCTGCAGTACTCGTTTGCTGCGGCCCGAGAAGAACACGAAAATGAGTAATTTCGTCTAACTATCGAGTGACCGAGAGAGATGGGATTCGATAAACTGCCTTGTCGATGTTCGGGAACAGGCCTTGAAGCTTCATCATTCTTTCGCTAATCCGTGTCCTTCTCACCTAAAGATTTGCATATAAACGGAATTAAAAGACTGACAGGAACATGAATTACGATAAACGAATAGGTGGAACCAAAATGTATATGTATACCCTCTCGGCGATGCTGCGCGGGTGAGTAGCGCAACCTCTTTTCGCTCGAATCTTACAGGGGACCGATCCTTGAAACTGCCAGAACCTCTCTACTACATCCATCTCCTCATAAGTCATAGGCAAACTCAACTGGTGAGTTAAACCAGCAGAGCAGTCTCTGGCGTCCAGGTTCTGATTTCAAATTCACACGTTATTACTCAAACAAAGAATGTATTCATCGACGAAAACAGAGGAAAATCGAACAATGGATTGAAAATTGCTGGTTTTAGCTTTGTACTGAGTTTGTAATTTGCTTGGACCACAAGAAAAGTCACCGCCATCACATTCTCTAGCTCTTTTCAAGCCACTGAGTGAAGCATTGTTCCTTGAATCAGTCATCAAGTCGGGCATAAGCTGCCCGTTGCTCCGATTGCCACCATTACTATTGCCTAAGCTTCGGTGCTCGACTCGAGCTATTCGAGGCATCGGCTTTGAATATGAAGATGGCAGAGAGGAGAAGCTTATATGATTGTCATCATTGGTACCGTTTCAAGCCCTCAACCCTATCAGCATTGACAAGTGCATAGATGAGTTTTAAGTAATCATAACACATGGAAAAGTAGTACCTTGCCGGTCGGAACGTCGTATTCGCAAGTTTCTCGAAACAAACAAATGATCATAGAAAGGGGGGAAGTACCATTATCTAGGCATTGGTTGGAGAAAAACCGAGCCGGAGAGCTACATCTCCGAATGAGATCCGAGCCATTTCCATCTCCCGCTTCCATCAAATTCGACAACCCGACATCGCTACCAACACTAACATCAGCAACACTCTGTATTGGTAGGCTCTGAATCTGATACTCTTGCTTCACAGATTTCTCTTCATATTCTTGCAAATCGGATGAACCATTATCAGACAACATGAAGAATGTTTCCGTTTCAGGAACCAAAGAAGATCGAAACCCCCCGAATACATCGAATCCGGTACCACTTCCGATAACACCACCGGCATGGCTCTCGAGCAACGAGATCGGTGCCGACCTGTACATCATTAGACCGCAACTCTGCTGGTGGTGGTGACTTTGTTGAAGATAGTAATGATCAGCCATCTCCATGTTCTTCCTCAATTCTTCTTCTGGAAACTTGAAATTATACCTGGAAACCATACATCAGTGATAATTCAATTACAATTTACAACCCCGTATATATATATATATATATAAGCACAAATTCTTTAAGGAATATCCATATATGATATACCTGAATTATTACAATAAGATTCCAATATGCCTGAATTATATGTATGTATATATATAGATATATAAGCATAGATTCTTTAATGAAACTTGAAGAAAACTGTGTTGTTGGGGCAAGCTCCGAAGGGAAGATATGGAGATTTATATAGCGGACAGTGGCAACGAACGATGATGTAATAATTAGGGGTTTAGAGTTTGACTAAACCAACCCTGAATTTGCAGTTGAATTTTCACATGCTAGTGAATCGAGACAACCCTGTTTTGTGGAAACAGTGATATCAGGGTTAAAAAAAAAGTCCGCGGCCACGATTTCGTCCGCGATATAATGATTTCGTCGCTGTCCGAGTTACCCGCGACGACCGTTATAGCGCAAAGCCTGGTGATGATAAATGACAGATAGATAAATACATAGGATGTCCTTATATTGTGACTTATTTTAATATTCTCTTTAAACTTTAAAATATTATATATCAGTCTTTAAACTATAGCCCTTATTCTAAATTAGTACCTAGACTTTTTAAAATGTTCTATATCAATTCTCGAACTATCATTATCATTTTATTTTGATCCTTCTGTTAATGTGTCATTAACTCTATTGGTTAAAAAATTGATCTTTTTTAAGATCTTTTGACCTAAAAAATTTCCAGAACCTTCAAAACAGATTATTTTTTTTAGAAGCTTGTGGATTGAATTCTTATAACCTTAAAAAAAAGGATTAAATTTTCTTGAAGGTCACAAGCCTAATTCTCATGACCTTCAAATATCAATACGGTAGTAGAATGATCAAATTGAATGATATTGATAGTTTAATCACTGATATAGAATACTTAAAGTTTAAAAACCAATATAGAATGATATCATAATTTGCAGAATGATACCATAATTTAGGGACTGATATAGAATGATTTAAAGTTTAAATACTAATTTAAAATTGACTGTCATAGTTTAGAGACAAAATGTGTAATAACTCTTTTTTCTTAAAAAAATAACACCCAAAAATTATCGGCCAATGATTTTAGCGTTGAAGACCAAAATGGAGGAGAAAACAATGAGAAGAGTGTGAAGGATCAAAATGAGAATAAATAAATAAAGATCAACTAAGAAAATAAAAATTATAGGAATAATCTTAAAAACAATGGTAAACTACTCGTTTAGTATACCAACTATCACTTTTGTTTCGTTTTTGTCACCTAACTATTTTTTGTTTTAAAATTATACTTGTCGTTACGTTTTGGTTTCATTTCGGTCACCCGTTGTTTAAAATTAACAGAACTTCTAACATGATATTTTTTATTTTTTTCCATTAATAATGTGGTGTTACCTTATAATGACATGTCAACCTCACTGCTATTTTTTAGCAATAGGTGCCAAAACGTAACGTTAAGCATAATTTTAAAATAAAAAATAGCCGAATGATGAGAACATAACAAAAGTAATAGTTGAGATACTAAACGTGTAGTTTACCCTAAAAAAATGTATCCATGTGTTATATGAACAAGAATATAAAAAAGGTTATAAACATTTATTTTATTAACGAAAAAGAAAAAGTATGAAAACAACCTTATCCAGACATATGAAACGCATTCGATGCGTTCTGCTTTTGAGTGTCTTTTAAGGTAGATACAGGGATAAGGGTTTTGTTTTGAGGGTCTAATTCTATCTCTAGTGCTTTTACTCTTCTAATTTTTATGTTTTAGTCCCTTTCTTTTAGTCCAATTATTTAGCCCTTTTGCTTGCCTGCTTTAAAATTAAAAGTCAATTTAGTATCTTTACTTGTCTATTTAATCCAGTAAAGAGACTAAATTTATGTTTTAGTCCCTAGTTCTAGGAATTTAGCCCTTTTGCTTGTTAACATTGTTAATTGACTTTGAGTAAATATGAATACGTTTTATTAGTCAGACTTTAATTTTGAAATTAGACGAGTACGAATTCATGAAAATAAAAGCAAGTAAACTAACTTTTAAAGACTGAAAAGTACATGGACTAAAGACATAGTTAATCCTTTAATGAGTGAAAGGTGCTCTTTGGGTAATTGGGTCAATGGAAATGGCGGGTAATGTCAATTCTCAATGAAAAGTACATGCACCTCAATTATGTCGGTATAAAATAAAGTAATAATAAATATAAGGGTAAATTACATATTTAGTACCTAATCTAACATTTTATTTTGTTTTAATATCTAAACTTTATTTTTTTTTTCAAAACCATATATAATGTTTAGTTTAAGTTTCAATTTGATACTCTATCATTAAAAACTTAACGACAACAATGACGTGAAATTATTTTCCCTTTTCCGATATTCCATGCGTCTTGTAATATAAAATCCAATGTCATTGGCGTTGTTTAGTTTTTAACGGTATGGAACCAAATCAAAACCTAAACTAAACATTAGGTATGGTTTTTAGACAAATAAAGTCTAAGTACTAAAATGAAACATAAGTGGTAATTTAGGTAATAAATGTGTAGTTTACCCTAAACATAATTTAAACCGATATTTTTTATATGATGGGTTAGATATGGTCTAATTTTTTTCTTTATTAAGATTGAAGTCGAATTAAGTCAGGATCGAACTTAGTTAAAATTATCTTATCAGGATATAATTATTAAAATATTTTTTAATAATTTTATAGTTATTTTATATAGTATATTTAAGATTTTAAAATAGAATAATTTCAAAGTTTTTTTTGGGATAAAATCCCATGAATTTGGTCAAAGTTTGATACAGCATTTATTTTAAAGATTAAATTCGGATCAAATTAAATCACGTTTAAATTAAAATCAGATTATGGTTTTACTATGTTAGATTAGGATGGAGCAAGCAAAATTTCATCCTACCCCGTACCATTACCATATCTATTTTTTTCATAGTTGATTAAGCAAGATCAAGGTTCGAATCCCGACGTTTGTGAATGGAGTAAATTGAGTTTGGAGGGTCGTCCTCACCTTTGTAATACTCGATCTGAATTATTTTATCAGTAAATCGGATACCAGTGATTAATTCAAAAAAATTCAAGAATTAAATTATTTACCTAAACTGGTATGTATGATACGAGTTTATTTAAATTCGACCTGAACTCAACTATTACTTGTGTTCCATGTCTCCGACACCATGTAACTAGTTAACTCTCCTACACATGTCAACCAATTCTTTTACAACTCTTTGATTATTTTTCTTCTTTTTAAAAAAAGTAAACTATTTGTACTCATTCATCTAAAGCAACACATGCATGCATGCGAGTCATTCATATTATACATATAATAAAATAATTAGGATTTAGTCCATGAAAATATTATATTTATTTTGAAGGACTGAGAAAAATTATATATTAAAAAGGAAGGGTCTACACTGTCTGATCCCTTGACCATTAGGAAACGTCAAAACCATGACAAATTCCTTTGTATTCTCATCAACCGGTTTTTATAGCAAAAACCATTAGAGTTGCCATTGTTTTCTCATCAAGCGGTATTCATATGTAATATATAGGGAAAAGTACACCATAGGTCCCTAAACTATGCTTAAAAGTTTTTTGTCACAGAGGTTTCAAAAAGTACTGAATGATCATTAAATTTATCAAACTATTATAAGATGATAAATGTAACATTACGAAATGGTCATTAAGTTTATCGATCTATTATAAAATGTTCATTAAATTCATTAACTTTATTATCATAAAAACACCGTGGTGACCATTTTGTAACAATTCGATATAATTAATTGATCAAGGTTTAGGGACCTACAGTGTACTTTATCCATATATATATATATTGGTCAAATTCTATCATTGATCCCTATAGTATATGTAAATTAAGGGTTTTTTATTTTTAAAATTCCTAATTCAAATTCTATAACTTAAAATGATCAGATTTAATGATTATTATTTGTGTCATGATCAAAATTTCAAAATCTGAAAAATACATAGACAAATAGAATATAACTTATCATATGGACTAAATCTAGAACTTAAGTATAATACAAGGACTAAAAGAAGAATTTTACCATATATATCATTTAGAGTTTCTCCCATAAATTGATTAGGTCAGGCTGCCTAGTATGTACTGAGTAAGTTCAACCCTACAGAAGTGTTGAAACAAAGAATTCATTTTGAGACCAATTCTTCACAATTATATATCTACGAACAAAACGATCTCGGTAGTTAAGGGATTTGTTGTTATATTTTGAGGTTTCGAATTCGAATATTGCGTATACAAGAATATGAGCATTCATTATCAAAAGATTGAGTCTTTAAACTATAAAAACGTTCATTATCAAAAGGTAGAGTATTTGAAATATATATATCCACATGCCATTTGTTTTCCTCTGGCCAAAACATGTTATCGTTATACTGCCTATTTATTTTCAATTAGGGATCTTATGAATTATGAAAGGTGATGATAAGTAATATATCGTAAATCAAAATAAAAAAGAAAACAAACACGTAGATTTATGTAGAAAATTCTTGACGAAAAAAAATATAAGAAAAAGAGAAAAATTCACTATAATCGACGATAAAAATTCTATAACGCTCGTCGAGCATGGATGAGTACCGTTAACGATGATCACTATAAATTAATTTATAAAATGTTAAATTATAAAGTACTAAACGTATAATTATAAATTAGTTAAAAAACTAAATGAAATTTAATTAAAATACAATATTTATAAAGCATTAGTTTTTAGGGTAAACTATATCATTGACCACCTAACTATTTACCCCTTTCACTTTAACCACTGATTTTTTTATATTTTGTCAATCGAGTCACCTAAATATTTAAATATTATCAATCAAGCCACCTACCATTAAGTATTATCAGAGGAAATGATGTGGTAGATAATAAAATTTGTATATTTACAAATTTAGTCCTCATTACTTACATATTCTATTAATTTGGTCTTAACTTTTAATTAATTTAATAAATTTAAATATTAATACAAGGACTAAGAATTTTTTTGATAGTTGGCTTATCGTAGTAAGCATGTTTCCTTATGCATTGACTTGTTTATATCCCGATTAGAGTAAGAATTTTATATTTTATTATTTATTCATTATATATTTCAAGAAAATTTTAGAGGAAACTTGATTTTATTGAATTAGTCTATTTTAATAC